CCTGCGTGGGCGTGTTTTGTTGCTCCTGTCTTAAACTGTTTAGAAATTAATAAAAACATTGAAATACAAACATGCCTGGGAAAACATTTGACCTGTTTCTGATAAGAATATGAGAATAATTATTTTTCTATATGGGGATTATGGGTGGATTATAGTGGTTTAACCATACCTAGGACCACATTTGACATATTTCTGATAAGAATATGAGAATAGTTATTTTCCTACCTGCGATTATTGGTGAATTATTGTGGATTCACATGCCAAGCACCATATTTGACTTGTTTCTGATAGGAATATGAGAATAGTTATTTTTTTCCTCCATGGGGATTATGGGTGGAATATCATGGTTAAACATGCCTAGGAACACATTGAAAGTTCTCATTTGAGCTGTTCCTTATAAGATTAGTTCTTTTTATACATGGGGATTATGGGTGGAATGTTGTTTATACACATGCCATGGACCATATTTGACCGGTTTCTGATAAGAATATGGGTAGAGTTATATTTCTATGTGGGGATTATGGGTGGATTATTGTGTATACACATTCCATGGACCATATTTGACCTGTTTCTGAAAATAATATGAGAATAGCTCTCTTTCTACATGGGGATTATGGGTGGAATATCATGGCTAAACATGCCTAGGAACACATTTGACCTCTTTCTGATAAAAATATGAGAATAGTTTTTTTTTCTACATGGGGATTATGGGTGGATTATTGTGGTTAAACATGCCTAGGATATACTAATGTTTTTGTCTTTTATGTGCCATTGATAGCCCCTGCGTGGGCGCACCTTTTGCTCTGTTGGTGTTAGAGCACTGTTTTTTTATTTATTTATTTTTTTTTTTTATGTGCAATTGATAGCCCCTGCGTGTGTGTGTTTTGTTGCTCCTGTCTTAAACTGTTTATAAATTAATAAAAACATTGAAATAAAAAACATGCCTAGGAAAACCTTTGACCTGTTTCTGATAAGAATATGAGCATAATTATTTTTCTACATGGGGATTATGGGTGGAATATCATGGTTAAACATGCCTAGGTACACATTTGACTTGTTTCTGATAAGAATATGAGAATAGTTATTTTTCTACATGGCGATTATGGGTGGAATATTGTGGATACTCATGCCATGGACCATATTTAGCCTGTTTCTGATAAGGATAGTTATTTTTCTACATAGGGATTTTGGGTGGATTATTGTGCATACACATGCCTAGGAACTGACAACTCATGGGGCCCCCAGGCAATAGGAGATCATGGGGCCCCTGTGTCTTTGCCCAAACTCAAAAAAGCCTATGAAAAAGGTACCAGGGGCATCTCATGGGGCCCCCTACTGACCCCGGGCAGTGCCCGAGTTTCCAAATGGTCAGTCCGCCCCTGCCTAGGAACACATGTGACATATGTCTGATAATATGAGAATAGTTGTGTTTCTGCATGGGGATTATGGGTGGAATATCATGGTTAAATATGGCTAGGAACACATTTGACAAGTTTCTGATAAGAATATGAGAATAGTTATTTTTCTTCTTGGGGATTATGGGTGGATTATTGTGGATACACATGCCAAGGACTATGTCTGACCCATTCTTGATAAGAATATGAGAATAGTTTATTTTTCTACATGGGAATTATGGTTGTAATATCATGTTTAAACATGCTTATTAACACATTTGACCTGTTTTTGGTAACAATATGAGAATAGTTATTTTTCCACATGGGGATTATTGTGGATACATATGCCAAGGACCACATTTGACCTATTTCTGAAAAGATTATGGGTATAGTTATTTTTCTACATGGGAATTATGGGTGAATTATTGTGGTTAAACATGCCTATGAATACATTTGACCTGTGCCTGATAGGAGTATGCGTATAGTTATTTTTCTACAAGGTGATTATGGGGGTAAAATCATCATTACAAATGCTATGTAACGTATTTGACGAGTTTCTAAAAGTAATATGGGTATAAATATTGTACTTCATGGGGATTATGGATTTAATATCATGGTAAAATTTAACAAGGAACATATTTAATTTATTTCTGATATGAATATGCACATAATTATGTCTTTATATGGGGACTATGGTGGACTATCATGGATACACATCTATATGCACGCTTACACTCACGCTTACACTTAACAAAGAAAATATTTAACTTCTTTCTGAAAAAAATGTGGGTATAATTATTGCTGTACATGGGGATTTTGGATGGAATATCATGGTTACATCTAACAAGGAATATATTTAAGCTGTTTCTAATAGGAATATGCATACAATTATTTTTTACATGGGGATTATGGGTAAAATAACATGGTTAGTTATTCCCAGGAACATATTTAAGCAGTTTCTGATACGATTATGGGTTTAATTATTTTTCTACATGAGGATTAATGGTGGAATATTGTAGCTATACATCTCCCACTATGCATTTGACCTTCTTTATATAAGAATATGGGTAAAATTATCATTTAGACGCATCAAGCGGTTTTTCTTCCAAAATGCTGCTGCTCCTGGACACACTGGTCCTGAGTTTTTTTTCTTGCTCATAAACACTACTGCTACTAAAAGCTTCTAAAAGTCTATGTGTGCATGGACACATAGGATAACATAGAGAGCCGTTTAGAAGTAGTGAAAAAAAAAAAATACCTGACGCCTTTAAAATGCCCTGTGTGCATGAGGCCTAATTTTTATCGTTGAGTTTATGTGTGGAATTATACATGCCACAAAATCTATTTTTACCTGATTCTGATATAAATCATTTAGGAAACACTTAAAGTGGTTGAAAAAGAAGTTTTTTTTTTTTTTTCTTTACCTTTTTGCATTCTAAAAAAAAAACCTTCTGTGCTGCTCTCCCCACAGTCCCCCTAATTCTTATCTGATGCCCTTGAAGAAAAATAATTATACCCATATTCTTCTCAGACACAGGTCAAATATGGTCCTTGGTATGTGTAACCTTGACATTCCACCCATATTCCCCATGAAGAAAAATATTTCTATGCATATTTTTATCAAAATAGGTATAATTATTTTTCTATAGTAACCATGATACTCTATCCATAATACCCATGTGGAAAAAAATTATACCCATATTCCTATCAGAAACAGGTAAAATACGTTATATAAGATGTGTAATGATGATATTCCCCACCCCCAAATCCCCTTGAAAAAAAATAATTATACCATATTATCAGGCACAGGTCAAGTATTGTCCTTGGCATGTGTAACCTCAATATTGCACCCATAATCCCCATGTAGAAAAAAAAATTATATCCATAATCTTTTCAGAAACTGGTTAAATATGTTCCCTGATAAATGTATGAAATTTCCCCCAATAACCCCTGTATATAAAAGTAATTTTACCCATATTGTTTATCAGAAACAGGTCAAGTGTACTTTTTGGATTGTGTACTCGTGATATTCCTCCATAATCCCCTTCTAAAAAATAATTGTACCCATATTCCTATCAGAAGCATTCCTTGGAATGTATAATCATATTTAATGAATAATCCCCTTGCAGAAGAATAATTATAAGCATATTCAGAAATAGGTTTCAATTTACAGTATGTTCCTTGTTAAAGTGGAGCTCCCTCCACCCAAAAGGGGAAGTTCCGCTTTAAGGACTGCTCCCCCGCTCCCCATTAAGGATTGGCACCTTGGCGGAGCGGGTTCCCGAATTTGACAGGTACCCGCTCCCACTTCTAGGCAATCATCTAGGAGATCGTCTAGGCAATCAGAAATGGAAGTTGTCCTCCTCCCCTCCTTCCCTTTAGTCTTTTGGGACACGTGATAGGTCCCAGAAGTCTACAGGACCATTCATGAAGCGCAGCGCTACTCGCACATGCGCAGTGGGTACCCAGCTGTGAAGCCACAAGCTATCACAGCCGGGTGCCCACACTGAAGATGCCGGCCTCCTGGAATACAGGACGGCCGGTGAAATGAGCTGCGGAGGACACACCACAGGACCGAGGGACAGGTAAGTGGCTGTTTTTTTAAAAGTCAGCAGCTACAGTTTTTGTAGCTGCTGACTTTTATTTTTTGATAGGTCGAGTGGAACACCGCTGTAAGTGTAACCATGATATTCCATCTATAATCCCCATGAAGAACAATAATTATACCAATATTTCTTTCAGAAGCAGGTCGAATGTATTACATAGGATGTGAATTCATGAGATTCTACCCATAATCCCTATGTAGAAAAAAAAGGTCATACCCACGTTCTTATGAGAAACAGGTCAAATGTGTTCCTAGGCATGTTTAGCCATAAAATTCCACCCTTAATCCCCAGTAAAAAACTAATTAAACTCATAATCTTTTAGGAAGCAGGTTAAATATCTTTCTTGTCAGGTGTAACTATGTTTTTCCCACCATAATACCCATATAGAAAAATAAATATACCCAAATTCTTATTAGAAATAGGTTAAGTACGTTCTTTGGAATGTATAACCATGATATTCCACCCATAATCCCCATGTTGAAAAATCATATGCATATGCTTATCAGAAATAGGTAAATATATTCCTTGTTAAGTGTAACCATGATATTCCATCCAAAAAGGTTGAGAAACACTGCTCTAAATATAACCAATCCCCCTATATGAGCATTCATGTTTAGGGGTGCACTAGCCGTTACAGATTGTGCCAGAATTCTAGTGTTTATGGCCAAATTTAAGTTTTGTAGCTGATGTGGAACTCAAAGTATGACCATTCCTGGCACCCTGCCTCTTCAGATGCCTTTGATGGGAAGTGAAATAGCTATTTAAACTGTTTTCTGTTACATAGTTTAGAGATCCATAAAATAAAGCAAAATAATTTAAGTGATAATTTTACATTTATTACACGGATTTGTAACTGAAAAGGGGTTTTGTTTAGGATCTGAGATTTGACAATTTTAGAATTTACAGTAGTAATTATTAATGTATTACTTGTTTACAGGTAAAAACTCTAGATAATCCATCCTTTCCAAGAAACATACCTTTTTTGTTGTTTTTTTTCGTCATGTCAAAACTACAAGTCGCAGTGGTGTCTATATTACTGTTTACCATTCATTCAGCAGCAAGTACAGGTAAGTTGGGCATAACTTGTTCCACGCACACATAGCATCAACCATAGAGAATATTAAATTACAGATAATCCACACCAAAGCTTTGGGCAGCTCATGTGGGCTTGCCCTAAGTCTACATCTCAGGCCTATAGTACAGTTTATTTTTTTAATGGCAGGGGAGTAGGCTAGGGCAATATTTTTTAAGATGACACCTATCATTTAAAGTAGGAACTTTTGTATTTTAGGACTAATTCAGTCATATATGCAGTTTTCACAGATAAACTACAGTACATCGTAATTTAAAACTCCCTTTATGTCAGTGGGGCCTGTTCTCACCAGAGTGATACTCTGCCATGCATTTAGAAAAATATCTTGCATGCTGCAATATTGGGGGAAAGTGATTTATTTTGAAACCTTCATATAAATAATCTTAGCCAAATTTTTTTTAAGAAAAATAGGTGAGTTGGAAGCTTTGGTGCATTGACAGAACTATGATTTAATTGGTATTTCTGAATCTTGGCTTCATTCTTCGCATGATTGGACCATGAATATTCCTGGCTATGTTCTCTTTCGGAGAGACAAAGTAAATAGGAAAGGTGGCGGTGTCTGTCTCTATGTGAGACGTGATCTCAGAGCAAGTGTGAAAGAGGACCTAGTTGATGGAGAGTGTGATGAGGCTAAAGTATTATGAATGGAACTGCACATGGGGGTGCGCACTACAAAGATAATCATTGGAGTTTGTTATAGGCCTCCCAGTGTTAATGAGGAGGTGGAAACTCAGCTCCTTGCACAGATCGAAAGGGCTGCAAGGGCTGGGACAGTGATAATAATGGGGGATATTAAATACCCGGAAATTGACTGGAGTAATGGTACTGCAGAACAGTTAAAGGGCAAAAATGTAGAAAACCTACTACAGGACAATTTTATTGTACAGTTCATAGAGGCCCCAACTAGGAATGATGCTCTGCTGGACCTGGTAATCTCAAACCATGCAGAGCTTAGTACGAATATCCATATAAAAGAACATCTGGGTAGCAGTGACTATAACATTATTTCATTTATTGTTAGCTGTAAACAGCGAGCACATATGGGAAAAAAAAAACCACTCAATTTCAAGAGAGCTAATTTTCCAAGGCTGAGAGATGCTCTCCAAGACTTAGACTGGGAGGAAATATTGGCATCGATGACCACAACACAGATATAGGAGTTCTTCAAAAAGACTGTATGTGAACACACTGCAAAATATATTCCCATGAGCAACAAGTTTAAAAGGCTAAAAATAAAACCTATGTGGCTTACGTCCAAAGTTAAAAAAGCTATAGATAATAAGAAAAGAGCTTTTATTAAATTTAAAATTGAAGGAACGCTATCATCGTTTAAACATTACAAAGAATATAACAGAATATGCAAAAAGAAAATAAAGGCCGCAAAAAATGAAAACGAACGACAGTAAGGCCAATGTGGTGCCAATATTTAAAAAGGGGTCCAAATCTTTACCAAGTAATTATAGACCTGTTAGTTTAACTTCTATAGTTGGGAAGATACTGGAGATTTTAATAAAAGACCACATAGATGAGTTCTTGATGGAAAAAAATATTTTAAGCAACAGACAGCATGGATTCATGAAAGACAGAAGTTGTCAAATAAATCTGATTTCTTTTTATGAGGGGGTGAGCAAAACCTTGGACAGAGGGGTAGCGGTGGACGTGGTATACTTGGATTTTGCAAAGAGTTTGACATAGTTCCCCACACACAGCTAATTTGTATGGTAAAGTCTACGAGCTTGGAAAAATCTGTATGTAAATGGATAGAAAACTGGCTAAAAGATCGTATTCAAAGAGTAGTGGTTAATGATTCATACTCTGAATGGTCTAGGGTTGTCAGTGGTGTACTCCAGGGTTCAGTGTTGGGACCCTTACTTTTTAATATATTTTATAAATGATATAGGGTCTGAGATCTAATAATCCCATTTCAGTCTTTACAGATGACACCAAGCTGTGTAGTAGAATAACATACTTACAGGATGTCTTCAACTTACAAGCCAACCTCAATACACTGTTTAATTGGGCAACTATGTGGCAAATGAGATTTAATGTTGATAAATGTAAGGTTATGCACTTGGGGGCTAAGAATATGCATGCATCATACATACTAGGGGGAGTACAACTGGGGGAATCAATGGTGGAGAAGGATCTGGGAGTTCTGGTAGACCACAAGCTTAATAATGGCATGCAATGCAAAGCTGCGGTTTCTAAAGCGAGCAAAATCCTCTCTTGTACTAAAAGAAGTATAGACTCCAGAGAGAGAGATAGTCAGGTCCATAAATATTGGGACATCAACACAATTCTAAACATTTTTGGCTCTATACACCACCACAATGAATTTGAAATGAAACGAACAAGATGTGCTTTAACTGCAGACTGTCAGCTTTAATTTGAGGGTATTTACATCCAAATCAGGTGAACGGTGTAGGAATTACAACAGTTTGCATATGTGCCTCCCACTTGTTAAGGGACCAAAAGTAATGGGACAGAATAATAATCATAAATCAAACTTTCACTTTTTAATGCTTGGTTGCAAATCCTTTGCAGTCAATTACAGCCTGAAGTCTGGAACACATAGACATCACCAGACGCTGGGTTTCATCCCTGGTGATGCTCTGCCAGGCCTCTACTGCAACTGTCTTCAGTTCCTGCTTGTTCTTGGGGCATTTTCCCTTCAGTTTTGTCTTCAGCAAGTGAAATGCATGCTCAGTCGGATTCAGGTCAGGTGATTGACTTGGCCATTGCATAACATTCCACTTCTTTCCCTTAAAAAACTGTTTGGTTGGTTTTTGCAGTATGCTTTGGGTCATTGTCCATCTGCACTGTGAAGTGGCGTCCAATGAGTTCTGAAGCATTTGGCTGAATAAAAGCAGATAATATTGCCCAAAACACTTCAGAATTCATCCTGCTGCTTTTGTCAGCAGTCACATCATCAATAAATACAAGAGGACCAGTTCCATTGGCAGCCATACATGCCCACGCCATGACACTACCACCACCATGCTTCACTGATGAGGTGGTATGCTTAGGATCATGAGCAGTTCCTTTCCTTCTCCATACTCTTCTCTTCCCATCACTCTGGTACAAGTTGATCTTGGTCTCATCTGTCCATAGGATGTTTGTTCCAGAACTGTGAAGGCTTTTTTAGATGTCGTTTGGCAAACTCTAATCTGGCCTTCCTGTTTTTGAGGCTCACCAATGGTTTACATCTTGTGGTGAACCCTCTGTATTCACTCTGGTGAAGTCGTCTCTTGATTGTTGACTTTGGCACACATACACCTACCTCCTGGAGAGTGTTCTTGATCTGGCCAACTGTTGTGAAGGGTGTTTTCTTCACCAGGGAAAGAATTCTTCGGTCATCCACCACAGTTGTTTTCCGTGGTCTTTTGGTGTTGCTGAGCTCATCGGTGCATTCCTTCTTTTTAAAAATGTCCAAACAGTTGTTTTGGCCACGCCTAATGTTTTTGCTATCTCTCTGATTGGTTTGTTTTGTTTTTTCAGCCTAATGATGGCTTGCTTCCCTGATAGTGACAGCTCTTTGGATCTCATCTTGAGAGTTGACAGCAACAGATTCAAAATGCAAATAGTACACACTTGAAATTAACTCTGGACCTTTTATCTGCTCATTGTAATTGGGATAATGAGGGAATAACACACACCTGGCCATGGAACAGCTGAGAAGCCAATTGTCCCATTACTTTTGGTCCCTTAACAAGTGGGAGGCACATATGCAAACTGTTGTAATTCCTACACCGTTCACCTGATTTGGATGTAAATACCCTCAAATTAAAGCTGACAGTCGCAGTTAAAGCAGACAAGCAGAAAAGCGTTTCATTTCAAATCCATTGTGGTGGTGTATAGAGCCAAAAATATTAGAATTGTGTCGATGTCCCAATATTTATGGATCTGACTGTATCTTATTACCCCAGTACAAATCATTAGTAAGATCTCATCTGGAATATGCAGTTCGGTTTTGGGCACCAATTCACAAAAAGAATATTGGGGAACTGGAGAAAGTAAGGAGAAGGGCAACCAAACTGATACTAGGCATGGAGGAGCTCAGCTATGAGGAAAGATTAGAGGAACTGAATTAATTCTCTCTTGAGAAGAGGAGATTAAGGGGGGAAATGATCAACATGTATAAATACATCAGTGGTTCATATAGTGAATTCGGTGTAGAGCTATTCACCCTGAGGTCATCACAGAGGACAAGGGGGCACTCTTTTTGTCTGGAGGAAAAGAAATTTAATCTCCAAACACGGAAAGGTTTCTTCACAGTGAGAGCTGTGAAAATGTGGAATACACTCCCTCAAGAGTTGGTTCTGGCCAGCTCAGTGGATTGCTTCAAAAAAGGCCTGGGTTGTTTCTTAGATACACAGAATATAACTGGATACTAAAATTTATAGGTAAAGTTGATACAGGGAATATCCGATTGCCTCTCGGGGGATCAGGAAGGAATTTTTTTTCCCAGCAGAAGCAAATTGGATCCTGCTTTGCTAGGTTTTTTTTTCCTTTCTCTGGATCAACTGTGGGTATAGGATTTTTTCTATGGTTGAACTGGATGGACTTATGTCTTTTTTCAGCCAGACTATGTAACTATGTATGTTCAAAACTGCAAAAACTAAGGCTAGGTACATCTCTGCAATACATGCACTGCTTTCAATGTTTTGTCTAATTACAAATGATGCAAGTAAAGGAAAATACCTCCTGATGTTGCTTGATTGCCTTTCACTAGGACGAAAGGTGAGGGGAGATCTCATCAATTGGTACACGCAGCTCAGTAAAAACATGACAGAGATTCTGATGCTTTCTCCACTCTATTAGGTGTTTTTTTATGATTGTGTCTTCAAAAATATTCCTCTGGTAAAAAATGCAAGGAAATCTACTGCCCAGTATTGCACAGCAGAAACAAAAGCCTGAGGTCCTAATCCTACTGAATCCAAAACATAATTATTTTAGCTGAAATCCACTTTAAGGAGCAGAACAGGCAGCTATACTCGATAAATCCCAGGATGACTACAGCTATTCAGGTTATCTGTTCTTCTCCAGTGATTTTTTTTTCATATTTGGTTAGAGCAGGGTTTATCAACCAGGGTTCCTTCAGAGGTTGACAGGGGTTCCTTGAGCAATGAGCAATTTCTGCCTCTCAGATGCGTTCCCACTGACATCAATGATCTTTTTAGCTATCTAATTATTCCCAACTACCACAAGTGTGAGGAGCAGCATTTTTCCCACTGACCATCACAATAATGTATCATGCGTTGTAGATATAGTAATTTTTAGCAGGGGTTCCCTGAGAATGTAAAGTTATTTCAAGGGTTTCTCTGTGTTAAAAAGGTTGAAAAGGGCTGAGTTAGATTGTGCCGTTATTACAAAGGTACCATGAACAGAGAAATGGCTGCTGTGCATATACTGTAACTCATGTATTTTTATTGCAATTTTGTTTACATTTAGATGAAGAGTATTCATGTCCTCAGCTGAAAGTCGAGAGAGAGATTTTGAAAAATGGATTTCACAGGTATTTTTTCTTGTCTTAACCTTAGGAAACTATCTTACATTCCTGTAAAGTTATCAGCTCTGTATTTAATGTTGTGAAGCAGTGTGCATAAAAAGGAATATGTCTATAGGAGTTTTCTGTGTAGACTAGGTGTGCAGAACACCTGTCCATGCTTTTTTTTCCTCTCTGTCCCTAATAAAAAGGTAGGCAGATTTATAATATAGAGTATTTTGCACTGTGCCAGGCTGGATGATATTAGACCAGCTGCAAGCCCACACGTGTGGTGTGAAATGAAGCTCTGTTTTCACAAAGTAGTTGTTCAGCCTTTCAGGTCCGGTTTAGATCAGGTTCAGGTCAGGTTTGCATCAGGATCAGGTCAGGTTTGCATCAGGATCAGGTCAGGATTTTAATCTGTTAACAACTAAATAACATGTGCGATTCAGAAGCATTCCCATAGAGGTCTATGGGCCTGAATTCGCACCTGTACAGGGCCGGACTGCTCAGAAAACTGACAGGACTCTTTCAATTCTCACTGAATCCACACTCCGGCTGCAACAGACATATGTCAACAGGCACAATAAAGTGTGAATTGATACAGTTCAAAATGCATCCAATTCACAAATGTGTGAAGCGGCTCTAAACAAGTTTAGAGGAGTGCAAGAGAACTCTTTGGGACAACAATGGAAACATCAGTGTCCATTGTCATCTACATGGCATGTAAAACTGCTTGGGAAAAAATTGTGTTATGAATGCCTATGTAGGTATGAAGTGACCGTTCAGATGTCCAGTGCATCGGCTGGAAGGGAAATTAGGGTGGCTCCAGCACTACATTTACATTAGTTTCTTAGAGAAGAATACAGTAGTTAATCAGATGAGCCACATCTTTTATTGTCAATAGACTTGCACTTTTCGTTGGTGAGTTTTCATTCTTCACTGGACATCAGCTTAAAAACACTAAGAAATTAGGAATTATAGATGACCACAGCAGGTTTCAGAAGAGACCTGGACCAGACCAGGACCAACATTTTATGGTAAGAAGGGCCCAACTATATGTTGCAGCCTGGAGAGGACTATCCCCCTGTCTGAAGCAAAAGCTGAGTTACCATGTGAACAGAATATATGGAAACTCAATAGATTTTTTTAAAAGTAGCCTCTTAAGTTATATCTAGTGGTTGTCAGTCACAATTTACATGACTTGTTTTAATGAAAGATGTCCAGTTGAATGTGGCTACTTTTACTAGCTATGACCTAGATACATAACAACCTTCATAAGACAGTACAAGAGGGTGTGTTCCTATTTTTCAGTTGTTTATAGCGAACCTGTACTGTGCCCATACTGAGTACAGTAACAGGTTCACTGTTCACAGGAGGCAATGTCAGCTGAATTTGCTTACCTTCCACCTTCATCCGTCACTCCATCCACTGCGAGAAATCACAAAGTCCTATATATGTTTTTGAATTTTGAAACCACAAAGTCCTTTATATGTTTTGAATTTTGAAACCACAAAGTCCTTTATATGTTTTGAATTTTGAAACCACAAAGTCCTTTATATGTTTTGAATTTTGAAACCACAAAGTCCTTTATATGTTTTGAATTTTGAAACCACAAAGTCCTTTATATGTTTTGAATTTTGATACCACAAAGTCCTTTATATGTTTTGAATTTTTGAGAAAGTCAAACCTTACAGGGACAACACAGGTTCCCCTCACTCCTACGTGACTGCACTTGGATCTGAAAATGAGCTAGTGGAAAGTCATTAAATTTGGTGACATGGACTCTTCTACAGCAAATGTTACTTCACTTTACACAGTTCCCCAGACCTTTTTGTCACTGTGCTTATATTTTGTTTGTTTTTGTGCCAAAAATGATGTATGATGACACTGTAATACAAACAAAGGAAAGAGAAAGTAGAGCCTGCAGAAGGAGACGTTGTTTATGTAGAGAAATGAGTGACATGGAAGGCAATGATAAGCTGTTCTAAGATCTGATCATATGTAGGCTGTTCATTTTCAGTTGGTATTTTCTGTTTACGTAATCAAAATGCAGTATATGCAATGTAGAAAAGCCAAATAAAAAAATGTGTTTCTGCCAAGTTATCATATCTTGGAGATTTTTAAAAAAAAAAAAAAAATATCCTCTACAAGTACACTTACTGTATGAATGAAGCATATTTTATTGTTATGCTTTAGTAGTCATATTACATACATACAGTACATTTTAATACACTTTTCTGTTCATGTTATTAGGGATTTGGTAACCAGAGCAAGTATTCAGGGCTTTATGGATCTGTTGGACAGCTGCAGAATTTTGCTCAATGAGACAATCCCATCTGGACTATTTATGGATCCGTTTCAGATTTCCTCTCTACAACAGCACAATCTTGTTGAGGTATCCATATGGGTGATCTAATTACATTGTGTCCAATGAAACCTGCTTATGTTAATCTGATATGTAGCCACCCCAAAAAAGTAAATGTTTACTTTTGATGCTCAGTTATACCTTGACTTGTGTTGATTACCAGCAATGTTCAAGACTTTGAAGTTGCTCTCATCCCCAGCAACATTTGCAGATAATATGGTGGGTGTTATTGTGTGGATAGGGCATGTTTCCCAAACCCATTCTCCAGCCAGGCAGGATCCAATTCTTAAACAGAAACTGAAGCTAGTAAAGAATTAAGTGGAAATGGCATTTTCAGATTAAACTGCTAGTCCAGCTGCATTATATGAAAATCAAAGTGAAAAGGTAGCGCTAATTAAACAAACATATTTTTGTGACAGTGATGTATAAACCAAAAAAAATTGTGCAAATATTCATAAAAAATATATATGAATTCTCAAAACCACTAAATATTCAATAAATGATTAAAAACAAATGTCTGTAATATTTTTCAATTTAAAAGCTTCATAATGTTGAAAATCCACCACCAATTGTGTAAGACTCCATCACCAATAGAATTGCATAAACTCACCAGAACAGATTGCTAGTAAAATTATAAACTAGCAAATCACTTGTTGGCTCTGGGAGCAATGGTCTGCAGATTGATGACCGGCAACAGAAGATGTTTCTTATAATGTACGGATCTTCATATACCATATACGCTCAAAGGAAGAGAACAGAGTAGGAAATAGTGTGATACTGTATAGCAGGTTTTTATTAAAAGCTTTTTATCCAAGCAACTCACATTTTTAAGTGCCACAAGCCAACACTAGCATAGACCGCAAAAACACATAAAACTGCTTCAAAAGCCGGAGACGCCAGCAGCTTACGGAACGGACTGCTCTGTGAAGACGTTAAGTGATGAAATGCGTAGGGTGGAGCCTCAGAGTGCTGTCACAACGTTCCGTAAGCTGCTGGCATCTCTGAATTTTGAAGCGGTTTTATGTGTTTTTGCGGTCTTTAATAAAAACCTGCTATACAGTATCACACTATTTCCTGCTCTGCTCTATTCCTTTCAGCTTATGTGGTATATGAAGATCCGTACATTATAAGAAACATCTTCTGTTGCTGGTCATCAATCTGCAGACCATTGCTCCCAGAGCCAAAACGCAATTTGCTAGTTTATAATTTTACTAGCAATCTCCTCTGGTGAGTTTCTGCAATTCTATTGGTGATGGAGTCTTACACAATTGGTGGTGGATTTTCAACATGAAGCTTTTGAATTGAAAAATATTAGAAACATTTTTTAATCATTTATTGAATATTTAGTGGTTTTGAGAATTCATATATATTTTTTATGGATATTTGCACAAATTTTATTGGTTTATACATCACTGTCACAAAAATATGTTTGTTTAATTAGCGCTACCTTTTCATTATTACCTCTGTAGAGGGTGAGGTTTAGCAGCTTGATTTTTGTATTTCAATTTTTTGATTTGGTGCTGTTTTCACTCATATGTTATTTCACTACAGCTGCATTATATGACATTTTCTAGATGGCATTAGTTGAGCATTAGTGTCAGAATTATTTTGTTCTGGATCAATCCTGCAGTGAGTATTGATGCTATTGGATCAGTATGACAGCTGTGCAACTGTCTAGTCAACTGTGCCAATATTTTTCTCAGTACAGGTTTTCTTTAATATTTTCACTCAGACTAAACAATTTAAAAATGTATTTTTTTTATCAGTGCTCAAAGTATGCCCTGAAATTTATTTCCAAATACATTTTAAGGATAAGTTCACCTTTAGGATTTTTAGAATATTTAGGATGTAACATGCTCCTATGCATTCACCTCCTGCAGCCAGCACTCCCCTCTCAGTAACAGCGGACAGGGTATCTTCTTCCCACACCCCACTGTCACAATTTGAAAGCAGTGCGGCTGCACGGGGCTCTGCCCACACGGCCTCTTCATTCATTCACAGTTTTCTGTGTATGAACAGACTACAGGTATCATCAGCCATTGTGGTACAAGCAGACAGCAGGAGGTACGAGCAGGTGGCTTACTGAGGGTCTGCAGGTCCCTGGCATTGCACTCATGATCTGCTGAGTGCGGATGCAATGCTTTACAGGTTGTAAAAAAAAAAAAAATGCACGTTTTGTTACCTACAGAAAGATGTGCATTTATTTATTTTTACAAAAGGTGAATTTAACCTTTAATATGAGCATAAAATGCTTGTTGGACCTGTCAATTTGTTCAGCTTCCTGCTTCAGGCTATCTACAGGTTTCTTTAGCCTGGTAAGTATTACGACAGTGGTACACACAGTGATAAAAAGAAAGCTTTGCCTATTCACAGTGTGCTCTCCCTCCTCTCTCTCTTGCACAGATCCTCACTGCACAGTGGAGCATTGCAGCTTAGTACCACCCACCTGGGCCCTGCCAGGTAAGGAGGACTGCTACCGTGTAACAGCCTTTAATAAAGGCTTAAAAAGGTGTGTTTTTTTTCACTATGTTCATCAGTAATAGAATGTGTATTGTGTGCCCTGACAAAATACCAATGGAAGAGATCAAGGTTTGCAGACAGTTTAATGGTTCTGCTACCGTTTTAGACTACTGCTTATAAGAACATCATATCTTTAGCTATAGAGCTTTCTTTTATAAATGTTTTACTTTTTTAAGATGTGCGTGCTCTTAGCTCACAATCAGTCTCTATAATACTATACTAAATGACAGTATGATTTGTACCTGTCACATTAGACACAGTGTATTTTGCATTTATTCATACTGTATCTTATGCTACTGTCTGTTAATCCCTGCTGTCACTAACAGCCAGTGCCCTGATCAGAATGGTTCTTGGCCATGTGACCACCATGTCAGCTCTGACATAGTCTAATTTATGAAAATTAAAAGCTTCGGTCTACAGATTAAAACTGTCATCTTCAGGCTGCAGCATTTATCTGTGGTGCCATCTCTTTAATAGTGTAACTGTGAGATACAGTTGCATTATCAAAAGTAATAATAAGTAAGAGGGAAAGGTTCTTTTCAATAAAACAGTGTACCAAATAAAAGTGTGTGTGTTTGTGTCCAAAATACTGGTCTATAGTACTGTAAACTGTCTTCTTTTTGTCAGCTTCCAGCCCTCTAGAGCACAGTCTCCAAACTTCAGCCCGTGGGCCTGCTACAAGATTTTATCAGTCCCGTAGCTAGGGTTAGTGACATATCTTCATATGACATATGATAGGGACGCTGATGTAAGCAAATACTCTAATCAGGATCATGATGGAGGGAGAACTCTAATGAGAATTCTGATGTAAAGGGAAACCCAGTGGGGACGCCGATATAAAGAGGACTCTGGTTGAGACCTTGATGCAAGGGGGACTCTGATGGGGATTTTTTTAAAAAAATTTTTTGCTTGTGAATAAAAAATATACAATTTACCCCTCATACTGAAAAGTTTGAAGACCTTTTCTCTAGAGGATTCATGAATTGCAGAAATCAGGATTTTATGAGGATTTTAATGAGGCTAGACATTTTTAATTTTTATCACAAAAAGCACCTATTCTTAAATCTTATGCCTCAACAAACCCTAAAGCTTTCATAAAACTTTGCCAGAGCCTTCATTCCCCATCCTCCTTTTTGCAGCATTTAATTTGCTCTTAAACTATAGCTATACTTTAAAGTGGAACTGCACTGCATCTGAGCACCACAAACCAAAATGCTATTTAATTCTTGTTCAATATTCAAAGCAAACTCACCCATCCATCCATGTCTCCACACTTTATTTTGCTGAGAAATCATTTAGAAAAACACCCTCTGGCATTTCTGGCAGTAGCCATCTTGAGTAAGGTTAGATGATTTATGTATCATTTACTTCCTGGAATCCATCTGCCCTTAGCTCAGGCACTGACAGAGCTGAGAACCCTCACTCCCCTCCTGAAGACTCCTTGGATGTATAACATAATTTGCCTAGGTGTGGAAATCAGGAAGTAACTAAAGAAATGTAAAAAAAAAAACACTTTAAAACAAGTATATATGTTATACTTTTCTATCTATTTACTAATGCTAGTAACATAAGGATTAAAAATAGTCCATGTTGAGTGAGAGAGTGAAGTTCTGCTTTAAATTTGATTTCCAGGCAAACCGTTAAACACACAGACAAAAAAAAAAAGAGTTTTATCTGTTGAAGAGTTGTGCCGCACTTAGGTAACACTTATTTACACTGTTTATACCAGGTATGTTGGGCTTCATTGCTTACGTAGATCCAATGCAATGACAAGCTTAAATCTCTTGCTTCCAATAGGTTTCTGCTCTGTATTAGTGTGTGCTGGGTAAAAATAGAGTATGCTGCATTTAACCGCAGTGCAGTGCACTGCAGCCTATCTCAGTGTGCTCCAATGAACGTGAGGGTAAGAAAAATATGAGTATTTGGCTGTAGCTACAAAAAATGCATATCAATGGAACACATTAAAAATGCACGTCAACACATATGAAGTAAATCCAAGCTTAAGGTCTTATTCCTCCCCCACTCCACAATGATGCTGTGACAGTAAAGGAGAATCAGCAAACTAATCAGCTCATTTCCCTATCACTCTGCTCTCTCCTCCTTTCACTATGTTCCTTTGTAGCGAATCAGTACTACAGCACAACTGATTGACTCTGTCTCTATGAACTGCTTCCACGTCTCCTAATCTGAGCTCTGCTCTAAGGGGATTGCAGGAGCCTGATACCAAGTTACATTTGTACACTGCTTGCATTTAAAGAAATATATATAATGATGTATTACTGAATATAGAGCTTCATTCCTTTGTGTCTTTTATATCTGAATGTATTTTAGCTGTGTTTTTTACACACATGTTGTGATCTTTACAGTTTTATGCCAGTTTTACTGGGTTCTTTAGCATACAACTTTTTATTACTTGAGGTAATCAAAACAGTAATACATCCTGTATGCTTATGTCTCTTTAATCAGGTAATAGTGCCAACGTCTGTAGATGTAGAAGCTCCTGAATACCTCTCCAAACAACACACTGCTCTGGTGTACATGAAACCAGACGAAAGCTGCAAACATTGCTATATCTCCATGGTACCAGTCCATGCAAGATACCATCGTCCGTCTGTCGAAGTCTATGAAGTGACCATACATGTCCGCAGTCCTCAGTTACTTATTCGTTGCAGCAAAGGTGACTCATTTGTGTGGTATTCTGCTGGGTTTAGTCAAAGAGCAGCGAAGATGTTCAGACTGCAGTAAAACACAGCAGTCACATAACTTGTGTTTGCTGGTCTGACTGCAGTCACCTGAATTGTTGTTATTGGTTACTGCAGTTCACATGTTGTTATTGATTTTTGCACTACACTTGTCAGGAGATAAAAAGACAGGCCATTAACCACTTTCCTACTGGGCACTTATACCCCCTTCCTGCCCATGCCAGTTTTCAGCTTTAAGTGCTGTCGCACTTTGAATGGCAATTGCGCGGTCATGCAACATTGTATCCATATGAAAATTTTATAAATTTTTTCACACAAACAGAGCGTTCTTTTGGTGGTATTAACTTGCCGCTGGGTGTTTTATTTTTTACGCTATAAACAAACAATTTGAAAAAAAAGTGTTTCTTTGTTTCTGTTATACAATTTAGCAAACAGGTAATTTTTCTCCATCACTGATGTGCTTTGATGAGGATGCATTGATAGGCAGCACTGATGGGCACTGATAAGGTGGCACGGATAGGCACAGGTGGGTGGTACTGATGGGCACAGGTGGGTGGCACTGATCATCTGTGCCCTGATGATCAGTGTAGATCCCTTCGCTGACAATTGTCGTTTCTCAGCAGTACTTTCAGCGTGAGGAGAGTACAGCCGATAACCGGAAACTGTATTTACCCGGTGATCTGCTGTGTCATTGGACACAGCTGATCATGTGCTAAAAGGCCGCTGTGATTGGCCGTTTACTGTATCACGTGATCAGCTGTGTCCTTAGAACACAGCGATCACCGGCGGCGCACAGGGGGGTGTGTTCTGGAATGACGTCCATGGACGTCGTCCCAGGATTACACAACCACGCTGTAGCTGTCCTTAACCACCTGAAAATATAGTCTAGCTGACATTCTAATCCACTAGTTTTAAAACTATCTGAACCACTCAGAATGAGTATGAAGACCAGCAAAGTCAGATAAAAGACATGCTTGTTCCAGGTCAGGACCTCAATGTTGTGAAGCCAGAGGGTCATCATGAAAGCCAGGCAACTGTTATTTTCAGAAAGAGATATCCACAATGTTGCTCCATGGTTTTTCTCATGGCAGTGCTAGTATACAAATGTATTTTGAGTTACTTAGACCTCCTCCACACCATGTGCAGAGATGTGAGTTTTTCTGCACCTGTTTCTGCAAGGGCACAAAGAAAACAATTGTTCTCTATGAGCCCTGTTCACACCACAACAATGGTATCATGTGGTGTGAAGAGGACACATAGTAAACAGTTTTCTTTGTGTCTTTGCATAATAAATATGCACTTCTCTGCACATGGTGTGAACAAGCATAGGAAAGCCAAATCTGTGTGTTTTTTCATCAGTTTTTTTGCACATATTGTATGAACAATGCCTTAAGGTAATCTGAGCTTTGATTGGGCTTTGATTTTATTCCTTCATATTTGAATGCATAGTAAATACACATAATGTATGGTAAATGCATGGCAAATACACTATAAATGCATTTTACTGCCCATGTACACTAGACCTGAAAGCCAACTGTTCCATTCCCTTGATGGACTGTGTCTAGCTAGTGAAGGAGCAGCATTTTACTTAGGAGCTCATCTCTGTTTTTCTTTTTCTTCCAATCGGAAAGCCCAATTTGTCTAATTCACTGCACTGTAAGGAACAGTAAAGTCTAACTGGTTTAGAGTGTTGCCCATTCCTTTTCCATTCTGAATACTACATGCAACTATGTACAAGGGATTACAAGAGGCTGATATCAAAACAAATTGAGGTACTGTTTAAATATAGATTTCAGGTATACAGTCATGGCCGAAATTGTTGGCACCCTTGATATTTTTCCTGAAAATCAAGTATTTCACACAAAAAAGGTATTGCATTAACACATGTTTTGCTATACACATGTTTATTCCCTTTGTATGTATTGGAACAAATATAAAACAGAGGCAGAAAAGCAAATATGACATAATGTCACACAAAACCCCAAAAATGGGCTGGACAAAAGTATTGGCACCCTTAACTTAATATTTGGTTGCACACCCTTTGGGAAAACATAACTGAAATCAGTCGCTTCCTATAACCATCAATAAGCTTCTGACACCTCTCACCGCACCGGAATTTTGGACCACTCTTCCTTTGCAAACAGCTCCAGGTCTCTCTTATTGGAAGGACACCTTTTCCCAACAGCAATTTTAAGATCAATCTCCACAGGTGTTCAATGGGATTTAGATCTGGGCTCATTGCTGGCCAGCCACTTCAGAACTCTCCAGCGCTTCTTTGCCATCCATTTCTGAGTGCTTTTTGACGTATGTTTGGGGTCATTGTCCTGCTGGAAGACCCAGGATCTTGGACGCAAACCCAGCTTTCTGACACTGGGCCCTACAGTGCGACCCAAAATCCTTTGGTAATCCTCAGATTTCATGATGCCTTGCACACAGTCAAGGCACCCAGTGCCAGAGGCAGCAAAAAAAACAACCCCAAAACATCATTGAACCTCCACCATATTTTACCGTAGGTACTGTGTTTTGTTCTTTGTAGGCCTCATTCCGTTTTCGGTAAACAGTAGAATGATGTGCTTTACCGAAAAGCTCTATCTTGGTCTCATCTGTCCACAAGACGTTTTCCCAGAAGGCTTTTGGCTTACTCAAGTACATTTTGGCAAACTGTAGTCTTGCTTTTTTATACTCTGTGTCAGCAGTGGGGTCCTCCTGGGTCTCCTGCCATAGCGTTTCATTTCATTTAAATGTCGACGGATAGTTCGCGCTGACACTGATGCTCCCTGAGCCTGCAGGACAGCTTGAATGTCTTTGGAACATGTTTGAGGCTGCTTATCCACCATCCGGACTATTCTGCGTTGCAATCTTTCATCAATTTTCCTCATCCGTCCACGACCAGGGAGATTAGCTACAGTGCCATGGGTTGCAAACTTCTTGATAATGTTGCGCACTGTGGACAAAGGCAAATCTAGTTCTCTGGAGATGGACTTGTAACCTTGAGATTGTTGATATTTTGCCACAATTTTGGTTCTCAGGTCCTCAGACAGTTCTCGTCTCCTCTTTCTGTTGTCCATGCTTAGTGTGGCACACAGACAGACACACAATGCAGGTTAAGGTTAAGTGAACGTCTCTCCTTTTTATCTGCTTTCAGGTGTGATTTCTATATTGCCCACACCTGTTACTTGCCCCAGGTGAGTTTACAGGAGCATCACATGCTTGTAACATTCTTATTTTATCCGCAGTTGTGAAAGGGTGCCAATACTTTTGTCCAGCCCATTTTTGGAGGTTTGTGTGACATTATGTCGAATTTGCTTTCTTTCCTCCCTTTTTTTGTTTTGTCCCAATACACACAAAGGGAATAAACATGTGTATAGCAAAACATGTGTTAATGCAATACGTTTCGTGAGAAATACATGATTTCCTGGAGAAATATCAAGGGTGCCAACAACAATTTCGGCCATGACTGTATATAAAACCAAAGCTTTTTGTTCAGTTCTGGATAGAGTGGTAAAGGATTACAACTTCTGTATGGATTATTTTGCTGTCTGTGTCCCCAGTGGGGAGACATACCCTCTTTACTTTACCTGGTGAACAATTTAACAGAACAGAAAGTGACTGGAAATTCAACATTTTTACAGTTGTCGGCAGAGTTAAAATAGAGCTGAAAACTTCCAGTGCAGTCACCTTTTCCAGAGATTTCATCTAATCTCTGAGATATTTTCTCTTACATTCTGTTGTATCTGCAAAACAGGAAGTGAACATAAATCCCACCAACAGGACTGTGACAGCAAAAACTAAAAAAAAAAAACAGAGGTTCTACGCCTGAACAAGTTTTAGGAAAAAACATCAGCTACAATAATAGTTGCCTATGTTGATGCATTTTATGTACCATGCCATATAGCTGATATACTGTACAACATGCTTCCTCAAGGACAAACGCATTAGATCCATTACATTTGGACAGCAAAGCAAATGAGCAAAACATTTTCCCCCTTTTTTAACTGGTTCTCGCCTAGCCTATTGTGGAATGACGGCTGGGCAGGACCACTCTTGTTTTGGGAGGACCTCCCATTCTTACCACACATGTGCGCCACCCTGGGGCGCACACCCGGTGATCGGTGGTGAGCTGTGTCCCTCAGACACAGAGCATCACTGATCAGGGTAAAGAGCCAATGATGATGTTGGCTCTTTACCATGCGATCAGCTATGTCCAATCACAGTATTGTCACAGTGCTGAGGAAAGAAAAGCCAATTTCCTGTGATGGGACGTTTACACTGATAATCAGGTCACTGATCATTAGTGCCCTGATTATTAGTGAAGCCCCATCAGTGCAGCATATCAGTGTCTCTTTATTAGTGCCCATCAGTGCAGCCTCATCAGCAAACATCAGTGATGAAGAAAAAATACTTATTTGCAACATTTTATAACAGAAACAAAGAAAACACTTTTTTTTTCAAAATGTTCTGTCTTTTTTTTATTTGTTTAGCAAAAAATAAAGAAACCCAATGGTGATCAAATACCATACAAAAAAACTCTATTTGTGTAAATAAAATGATACAGATTTCATTTTGGTACAGTAGTGCATGACCGCGCAATTGTCATTCAAATTGTGTGACAGCTCTGAAAGCTGAAAATTGACCTGGGCAGGAAGGGGGTAAAAGTGCCCTGTATTGAAGTGGTTACAGAGTAATCCAGGCCACAAGTAGAATTGAATCAGTGAACTGCTAATGCTATATGGGAAACATGCCAACTGTGCTAGGTTAGAAAAGCCAATTAGCTCTGTGTTTTATAATTCAGTTTAACCGTAGTAAATTCATTTCTTACAGAGCTTTTGGTAAGACTGCAGTGAACACTACACTGTGTTTTCCATAAGCGAGCAAGATGGCCAAATACACAAAATGAAAACTAGAGCCAGAGTGGTGTTAGCAAGACCATGAACTCCAAGTAGTTATAAATAACCACTATGCAATTTATTTATTTATTAGGAAATCATAAAATTTATTTTCCATAAAAGTACCAAAATATTTCTTGGTATCAGCCTCCTGCATACTAGGATTGGGAGAAGAAGGGGTAGAACTCTGAGCTAGAGAGCCCAATGCTTTCTATAATGCTTTCACTTTAATATTATGAATGCGCTTACAGAAGGGGAGAACAGAGGGATGTCCTTATAATTGTACTACTGCTCTGCATTGTCAAATTACAAGCTAGTTGTGCTGTTTGGCAGGGATGCTTGGATCACAAGACTGGCTAATTAAAATGACCAGTATTTTGGCAGGGAAATCGTCTGTGTGATTTTGTTTGCATAGAGTACAAATTTAACTTACATTTTTTTATAATGGACTGGAGTTTACTTTTATATTTTGTATTGTTATTGCTTTATTTATTTGTAGACTTTCCTCCAAGAGATTGCTCAATGCACCCTTTAGTAGAAGCTCCTTGTGGATCTTCAGCTGAAGAAGAATGTCAATGGATGGATCTGCCATATACACTGGTGTGTTATCTATTTTGTTAAATTATTAGAGGGTGTATAGTTCCTTCTCTCTTTGTTGTTATATGTCTGTATTCTTTTGCTTTCATCCATATTTATGAGTGGTAAGGTAAGTCAATAATTGTCACAGATAATGATTGTGGTGCTTTTTAAGAAAACCGTTTCCATTGTGTTCTAGAAACCCATGGCTGTCATGTTCATAATCGCATCTGTATCATGGTCAGTATAATAGCTCTTGCTATGGGGTTTTAAACAGGAAACATAAACAATTTTTCAAGATAATGTTATATCTGTACATTACATTCAGGATTTAAATTAGGATAATTATAGTAAAGTTTGTAATGTTTTTTGTGAGAGATCCCTTTTAAATACATATCAGCATTTCATAAATAGAAATAGGTTTGCATTGTAACAGCATGGTCTGAATTTACTAACCAACTTTTCTTTACATGTAAATGGTGTCCTAATTCAAAAGGTAACTGAGCAGAGTTTCCCAGCAGGGGTTCAGCCACCTGACTTTGTTTTTTTTTTGCCATTGACTACCATTGCGTCGATAGTTATAAGTCAAGCATTGCAGGGTTGGATGAGGAAATTGAATCTGGTATCTTAGATAATAGTCCTTCCCTACGAACACCAGTGGGAATATGATATTAAATGACATTTCTTTCTCATCCATTGCGCAACATGGGAAGTCTTTAATTTTCAGGTTATGCTGCTGGAGGATTGAACACTGGCAGGCAAAAAAAACTAAACAAGCCCAGGATAACCTTTCCTACTTCAGCATGCTTGAATATTTTGGTAGTGTCCTAGGGGAAATTAACCTTTTGTTTAGGCTCTGCAGTGGTAAAGACTAACCAGTTTTTTTTTAGCACTTTTCTTAAAGGATGAGTTCAACTTTACAGAAAGAATAATAAATGCACATATTTTTGCAGAAAAAAATGTACATTTATTATTTTTTCCTGCAGAAGCCTGGAAAGCATTGCACCCATGTTCAGTAGATCAGGGGTGCAACATTAGCAAACCGAAAACATTGCAACTTAAAACAATGTGACAATACACATACTCTCAGTGACACTCAGCTGCTGTATTGTATGTGTTCCTACATCAGTAAAGTATAAATAAAATAAAAATAGTGCTGCGATACTGAGGTTATATACAGTGGGGAAAATAATTATTTGATCCCCTGCAAATTTTGTAAGTTTGCCCACTTACAAAAAAATGAAGGGTCTATAATATTTACTATAGGTGTATTTTAAATTATAGAGACAGAATATCAACCAAAAATCCAGAAAAAAACACGATACAAAAGTTATAAATTGAGCTGAAGTTCAGTGAGTAAAATAAGTATTTAATCCCCACGCAAAACATGACTTAGTACTTGCTGGGTAAACCCTTGTTGGCAAGCACAGAGGTAAGACGTTTCTTGTAGTTGGTTACCAGGTTTGCACACATCTCAGGATGGATTTTGGTCCACTCTTCTTTACAGATCTTCTCTAAATCCTTAAGGTTTCTTGGCTGTTGCATGGCAATTAGAAGTTTCAGCTCCACTCCATGACCTTAATGTGCTTCTTCCTGAGCCACTCCTTTGTTGACTTGGCGGTATGTTTTGGGTCATTGTCATGCTGGAAGACCCATCCATGACCCATTTTCAGTGTTCTGGCTGAGGAAAGATGGTTCTCATGCAAGATTTTACAATACATGGCCCCGTCCATTGGCCCCTCAATGCGGCAAAGTCAGCCTCTACCTTTAGGGGAGAAACAGCCCCAAAGCATAATGTTTCCACATCCGTGCTTGACTTTAGGGATGGTGTTCTTAGGGTCATAGTCAGCATTTTTCTTCCTCCAAACACGGCGAGTCAAGTTAATGCCAAAGAGCTCAATTTTGGTCTCATCTGACCACAGCACTTTCTACCAATTCTTCTCTGAATCATTTAGATGTTCATTGGCAAACTTCAGATGGGCCTGTACATGTGCCTTCTTGAGGAGGGGTACCTTGCGGGTGCTGCAGGATTTCAACCCATGGCGGCGTTTTGTGTTACCAATGGTTTGTTTGGTGACTGTGGTTCCAACTGCCTTGAGATCATTCACAAGCTCTTCCTGTGTAGTTCTGAGCTGATCCCTCCCTTTTCTTATGATCATCCTTACCCCATGAGGCGAAATCTTGCATGGAGCTCCAGACCAAGGACGATTGATGGTTATTTTGTATTTCTTCCGTTTGCGAATAATCAATCCAACAGTTGTCTCCTTCTCACCAATTTTCTTGCTGATGGTCTTTAGCCCATTCCCGCCTTGTACAGGTCTGCAATATTGTCCTGGATGTCTCCTTTGACAGCTCTTTGATCTTGCCCATGGTGGTGAGGTTTAAATGGAAGAATTGCAGCTCATTTATAAAAATTTGTATTGTGTTTTTTGGGGATTTTTGGTTGATATTCTGTCTCTATCAATTAAAATATACCTATTCTAAAAATTATAGACCCTTCATTTCTTTGTAAGTAGGCAAACTTACAAAATCTGCAGAGGATCAAAAAATTATTTTCCCCATTGTATAAACAATCATAAATATGCAAAGAATAATAAGATCTACATCAATCCTACATAAAACAATATCAGTAGATATTAGTAAATCACCGCAATTACAATAAAATGTGCATGCATGACTAAATAATAAGTGAGCAGATCACAGCAAAACAAATGTATTGTGCTTTTGTGATTCCAGACAATAGTCTATACAATACTGCTTAAAGTGTTATTAAACCCACCACAGTAAAATCAGTCTGTATAAACATGCTTGTTATACTCACTGTGGAACCTAAAGGGTTAATCCTCTGCATTGGAGGATGTTGGCTGTTTTATCCTGACTTCTCTGATCCTCCCCTTCCAGTGTCCCCCTCTTATGTCCTGATAAGACATATAGTGTGGAGTCACTCTGCAAATGCTCAAGTTGGTGTGTAGGTGAGAGTTCTGTGAGCACTGAGGTGACACCACCTGCATGGTTATAGCACTTATCCAATGGTGCAGGTTTTGAGAACATGAAGAAGCAAATGAGCTGTGAAGAGTTGGATTGTTCACAATATCACTGATTATTTCACATAATATGGACTTGGTTTATGGACATTCATTTAATATTTAGTGTATACTACACTCTATACACCTTCATATATGCTTATTTGTTCATTTATTTGTTTGCAGTGCAGCATTGTTTTATTTATGTTTATGGTCCAGCTAATGCCCCCTCTTCCACCGATCCCCCCCTCCTTGTGACAGCAGGTGGGGGTTCTTCTCCTTGCACCTTCTGTCACTTTTTAAAAACAGTGCCGCTGTGCAGGACTACCTACACAGCCGCGTCATTTATTCACATATTCTTGTTTCTCCTACAAACATTTGTGAAAGAATGAGTCGCTCTCAGGAGCTCAGTAAATTCAAGCGTGGTACCGTGATAGGTTGCCACCTGTGCATTAAGTCCATCCGTGAAATTTCTTGCTACTAAATATTCCACAGTCCACTGTTAGTGGTATTATAACAAAGTGGAAGCAACTGTGAACAACAGCAACTCAGCCACAAAGTGGTAGGGCACATAAAATGACAGAGCAGAGTCAGCACATACTGATGCGCACAGTTCGCAGAGGTCACCAACTGTCTACAGAGTCAATAGCTTAAGACCTCCAAACTTTAGATTAGCACAACAACAGTGTGTAGAGAGCTTCATGGAATGGGTTTCCATGGCCATACAGCTGCATCCAAGTCTTACATTACCAAGTGCAATGCAAAGTGTTGGATGCCGTGGTGTAAAGCACTCTGCTGCTAGACCCTAAAACAGTGGAGACGTGTTCTCTGGAGTGACTAATCACGCTTCTCTGTCTGGCAATCCGATGGACGTTTCTGGGTTTGAGATTGCCAGGAGAACGGTACTTTCCTGACTGCATTGTGCTAAGTGTAAAGTTTGGTGTAGGGGGGACTATGGTGTGGGGTTGTTTTTCAGGGGTTGGGCTTAGCCCCTTATTTCCAGTGAAGGGAACTCTTAAGGCGTCAGCATACCAAGACATTTTGGACAATTTCATGTTCTCAACTTTGTGGGGGCAGTTTGGGGATGGCCCCTTCCTGTTCCAACATGACTGCGCACCATTGCATAAAAGCAAGGTCCGTAAAGACATGGATGAGTGAGTTTGGGGTGGAGGAACTTGACTTGCCTGCACCTCAACCTGATAGAACACCTTTGAACTAGAGCGGAGACTGTGAGTCAGGCCTTCTCATCCGACATCAGTGCTTGGCCTCACAAATGCACTTCTGGAAGAATGGTCAAACATTCCCATAGACACACTCCTAAACCTTTTGGACAGCATTTTGGGGACAAGTTTGGTGATATATTTGGGAGCATAGTAATAAATGTTTTTATATGTTATTGTTATTTCTTTCAATTTTATTTGTTGGGCAATGGAAAGCCAGTGGAGGGATTGGGAGAGAGGGATGGCAGATATGGAACGGTTAGTAAGGTGGATTAGTCTGTTAGCAGCATTCATGATAGACTGAAGAGGGGATAGCCTGCGATGAGGTAGGCCAATGAGGAGGGAGTTACAATAGTCAAGAAGAGAGATAATCAGAGAGTGAATAAGTTGTTTGGTAGTTTCAGAGGTTAAGAACGGCGTATCTTGGAGATGTTGCGCAGGTGAAGTCTACAGGATTTGGACAGCGATTGGATTCGGGAGTGAAAGGACAGATGGGAGTCTAGGATTACACCTAGTACCCTGGCATGAGGGGAGGGATTGATGATTGTGTTATTGATCTTGATAGAGAAGTCAGGGGAGGGGGCATGGGATGGAGGGAATAGTATGAGCTCACTTTTAGAAAGATTGAGTTTGAGGAAGTGCAGTGACATCCATGCCGATATGTCACTTAGTTGATTAGTAATGCGAGAGGAGACTGAAGGGGTGAGGTGAGGAGTAGAAAGATAGATTTGTGTGTCATCAGCATAGAGATGGTACTTAAAGCCATGGGAGTTTATCAAGT